ACATTACATGATGGTCTTCTGAGGCGAATCAAAATGCAATGTGGACTTAAAGCTATGATTTAGGGGCATTTGCATCTATACTTGCTTTTTGGGTCATGTTTTAACTTGTGCCCGTTTTGTAAAAAAAATTGCAAGCGTACCTACTTTTTCGCGTTTTAGCGTACGGGACTGAAGTAGCAAAGGCAATCGCGCAAAACTTCAGCATTCTAGTAGACAGGCCTGAAGTAGCAAGTGTGTTGAACCACGTGTGCTAAAGTTTTTGTTTGTAATTGCTGAATTTAAGCATAGTAGCTGAAGTTTTGTTCTCTATTTGTTGATGTTTTTGTTTATAATTGCTGAACTTAAGCATAGTAGCTGAAGTTTTGTTCTCTATTTGCTGAAGTTTTTGTTTGTAATTGCACTAAATAAGATAAAGTTTTTTTGTTCTGGATTCATTGGTTTTGTCATTAATCTTTTTCAAAAATTTCAGCAGAAGATGCTGAAGTTATTTAATTCATTTATAAAAACTTCAGCACTAAATAAGCTGAAGTTTTTTGTCCTGGATAAGCTTTTTCAAAAACTTCAGCAGAAGATGCTGAAATTATTTAGTTCATTTGTAAAAACTTCAGCACTAAAAGCTGAAGTTTTTTTTGTCCTGGATTCATTAGTTTTGTTATAAAGTTTTTTCAAAATCTTCAGCAGAAGATGCTGAAGTTATTTAGTTCATTTTAAAAACTTCAGCACTATATAAGCTGAAGTTTTTGAAAAAGCTTTCTAACATACTAGATAAATAATCAAATTTCCAACAGTATCTAAATCATAAATTTTGGAAACAATAAACGTGAAAAGAACAGAATTATCATTGTCTACTAACTTACGTATGTGGAAATATTCACAAATTATTGTCTACTAACTTACATAATTATTTATAATTTATTTTTAAATAATCTGATAAACATATTTATGGCAATCATCCCATGAACTGAAGTTTCATTGCATCACCAACAGAAGAAGAAGAAGAAGAAGAAGAAGAAGAAGAAGAAGAAGAAGAAGAAGAAGAAGAAGAAGAAGAAGAAGACGAAGGAGGAGAAAGGGGACTGAAATTATTTAAAAAATAGGTACAAATTAAAACTTTTTAAAAAATAGGTATAGGTTTAATGGGGGCGACCAAATAGAGCGTCTGGTGCAATTTTGATGATGATTTAGATGATACAGCCATCACCTTGAATGCATGTGGATCTCAATGTCTCACAAATATATGATGGGCTTTCAACCAATCGCTTCATATTTTTTAAATTATTTTTACTGTTGTAGGATTTTCCAATCGTCATAAAATATTTTCTTTTTATATATTTTATTCCATGTGAATTTTAAAATTATTATCCTAAGAACAAACCTAATTAAATTCGGTACTACTATTAGATTTTCCTCTTTTTGATTTAGTTTGATCGATTTTAATTTGGTAATAGTGTTTTACATAATTAATGAACACCCCTAACCAGCACTGCATGCATTAGTGCAACACTCATGCATTAATGTTGTAGTTAAAGACAGATTCATAACTTTAATTTAATTGGTTCAATCTTTAAAGTCGTAGCATTAAATTTATCATACTTTTGAAATTATGGGTTAAACATATAGTATTTATTGAAATTCAGTGATTTTTCACACATTTATTCGTATTTGTGTCGAATATATTCACTTGAACTCGTAACTAATAAATTACATCCACCATTTATGGTAATCTGATCTATGCGCAAGTGCAAGGACACCTACGAGTGCAAGGATATATGTAGTATTCCCTCCGTTTCAATTAAGATGACATATTTCGCTATCGAGAGTCAAATTACGTGAAGTTTTACCAATATTTTAAAATATATTTTGTTATTCATATTGACATGAGAAAAATTGTAACTTATAGTACTTTTCGTGTATTTTTTTGTATATCTAAATTTTAATTTTAAAATACTAAGTTGAATTAATTTAATTTAGCTTTAAAGTTTAGTTAAATCAATTCTTGATAAGCGAAATGTCGTCTAAATTGAAAATGGGGGAATATTTCACATGCACTAATCCGTGCTCTAGTTCACATGTCTCCTCTTTTCTTAGTTACCAAGTACAATAGCCCACCACCTTTGTGAAGTATGCGTCAATTATTTAGTACATTGCTACTTTGATAATGACCCTTCGGTCCTTTTTCTTCTAAAAATATTGAAAAGAGGTTGGTGGGTATGTAGTTTTTTGTGTATGTGGTTGGTGGAGTCCGGAACCGAAATGTTGTCTTTCTGGATTCAAAACACCATTTTAGGTGTAAAAAAAAGTTATCAAAATATGTAAAATGCGGTTTTGAACCTCGAAAACCACATTTTACACAAACGCGGTTTACATATTTTAAAATTGTGACATCGCACTAATCTATGATAGTGTTGAGAAATAATGGAGGAAGTCCTAATCCAGAAAAATAATTGTGATATCATATTTTAAAATATTGTACCGTATGAATAAGTTGTTTTTGTTGTTAACAACTTCAAGGATATTTAAATTTTCTACTTTGTCTTTAATGAAATAATTGCAACCACATTAAATATTTATGGTTTGTTTTAGGTCATAAAATTCAAAGGTTTTATTTCATTCTCAAATATAATACTGAGTCAAACACCACCACATACAGTAGAAATATTTAAATTTAGCTAAGCCAAATACTTCATCCGTCTCAAATTATCTGTCATGATTTCTAAAAATAGTCGTCTAAATTTATTTATCATTTTAGAAGTTCAAGACTAAATTAATTATTTTTTTCCTATTTTACCTTTAATATTAATTATTTTCTGACTACAAATATCTCAATTATGAGTAAACATTAAATGAAGAGAGATTATATTTTAGGGTATAAATAAGGGTAAAAATAGTATAAAAAATTCTTATATTTAATATTTTTTAAGGGGCGTGTAAAATAGAAACATGATAGACACTTTAAGACAGGGGGATTATTAGACTCTTACGCTAAAAGTCAGTTATCCACAATTATTTAAAACGAGCGTGGACTAAAGTAGCCTATAAAATATAGTGAATGACATATTACGAGTCGTAAATTACACAAAAAAATTACAGTATACAATTATTATGTAACTTTATACTATCACTTTTTTATATCTAAAAACTATGCTAAAAGTGACATGAAATATTGAGGACCATGATATATTATGTTACGTTTAGTATTGCGATACATAATAATATATCAATTTTAATTTCTTAAATTTCGTCTTCAATTAGACACACTAATATTTATTTTTCACAAAAGAAATGGAAAAGTAAAAAATGCTGGTAAAGATTGTACAAATAATCTCCCAATGTACCACAGTTGTACACCCACGCCCTTAAATCAATTCTTGATAAGCGAAATGTCATCTAAATTGAAACTAGCGGAATATTTCACATGCACTAATCCGTGCACTAGTTCACATGCACTAATCCGTGATGCCTGTGAACTCCTGTTTTGAGGTCTCTGTATGGGTCCAAATTTAAACAATCACGATCGTTAACGAGTGTGACGAATGACGAGATCCTCGAAGTTCGACATCTTGCAGAGGACGGCCTTAAGGTGAATAAGAGGTTGTACGACCCTTGCAGTAGGGCCGGCCCATTAGGGGACCTTAGGAATATTCTTTCGAATATTCCCTATGACTTGTCTTTTAGAGCTTAGAAGGGTTTTGGTCCCTTATATATATAGAGCGTAAAACAACCTTGCAGGGGGCTCTAGACATCTTTCCTAACTCATAATACTTGCTGTAAACTCACTTACATGAACAATTGACTAGGTGATTATTTAAGTTTTCTTTTCCAAGAGATAAAGAGTTCTTATTCTCTACATTCTCCTGGTCTATTTTTTGTTCTAGAGATTATTATGCTTAGCTAAGATTTACCCCTTCATTTTCTTTGATTGATTTATTCAAAAAGGTTCCGATATCTTTTGAGTCAAACAATTTGGCGCCATCTGTGGGGATTTCTATAGCTGAGATCTTAGTTTCATCTAGATTCTTGGAAGAAATAATCACCTCTTCTTAGCCTAAAAAAGGCCAACAATGGCGGAAAAGGGAGAAACAAGGCTAAAGACGATAGTAGGTGTCACGAACAACCTCCTGAATTCCCTCAACGAAGCCGGTGGGGAAGACAACGAAAACGCAACGCCAAGTGCTACACTTGAGGGAGAGATTCCCCACCCTCCCGTACGAGGGCCTAACTGTTTCACGCGAAAGGGAAACCTCAACATCCGCAGTAGGAGAAGCACACCGGCCGTGAGAAGGATATTAGAAGAATGGTTGACAAACACCTTGAGCAATATACTCGAGAAACCCGTTCAAAGGGATATCGAAGGCACAATACCCGCAGAAACCACAGCTTTCGCTGATGAGCCAGAAACTCCACGAACAGGTAACACTCATAATGTCATGGATACAGGCAACGATGCACTTGCGGCCATCTTAAAGAAAATGGAAGAGATGGAAAATGAGAACAAAACACTCTGTGACCAGATGAAAGAGCATCAGGAAAGGGTTGATAAAATACAGGGCGCTCCGAAGTTGCTACCAAAATGTGATGTAGGCCGATTCGTCGAACAACCCTACAGCGAAGGCCACTCTATTCCGAAAACCTTCAAAATGCTTCCATATTTGAAAATATATGATGCCACCACGAACAAAAAGAATCACTTAATCTATTACGTTACAGCAGTAAAAGGTAACGATCTATCGAAAGAACAGGTGTCGTCAGTGCTGTTGAAAATGTTCAGCGAAACTCTGACAGGGAGAGCGTTGACATGGTATTCCCAACTACCAACGCGATCGATATCAACGTTCGAAGAAATGGTAGATAAGTTTGTCACCGCTCACGCGGGAGCGAAAAAGGCAGAAGTTAGGGTAAATGATATCTTCGCCGTCAGGCAGATGACGAGCGAGGGACTTTGGGATTTCCTAGCCTAATTCAACAGGGTAAGCATGAGCCTACCAAACATGTCAGAAGGGATGGCGGTAGCAGCCTTCCAAAATGGGTTAAATAGAAACGGGTCAAAAGCAACCAAAAAGCTACTAAGTAGAGTCATGAAGTACCCCC